TTACACTTTTCATTGTTGTACCGACCCCCTTTTTCTTAATATTGTATATCTATTTGCAAAATAATAAATATTTTACTTTGAATTTTTAAATGCATGCGTGATTTGACATCAGTACGAAACAGTATATGTTGTATCTAAATAATCTAAATATTAAAAATTTATATTAACGCCAACTCCCGATCTTAAGTTGATATAAGAATCAATGAGAAATTTTTATTTCTCGGAATGCCCTTCTTAATCAATCCTGTAGTATGGAAACGAGTTTGGATGATGAAATTAAAACGTATCTGACCAAAAAGTTCAACGAAGTCAATGTCGAGAACCATGAAAACATGCTAGCATTTATACGATAAGCTTCTTAATATCGAAGGGCATGTTTGGACAGAAAACAACGAGCAATATGATAATTTTATAGCAAATGTAGTTCGCTTTAGTGAACAACTTAATAGACATACTCGATCAAATGATGAGATCCTCACCATCCGTGAAAAACTTGACCTCCACCTTGAAGGATATTTGAGAATCCTGGCCCTGCATATACTAAATATCACGTCTGTATCCAGCTCTAATGATTCATCCAAGTAAATGTTTTAATAACTTAATGCTAGGTTTTTAACATAAAGATTATAGCTAAATGCTTTTATTAACTTGAGATATGAAGGTGTCGTCCAAATTATCTTCTTCATTTGAGCCTAAGATCAAAATCTCATATAATCATATATAAGTTCATTTGTATTACATATAGTCTATTTTGTATTTGATTATATCATAGAGATCTTAGTTTTTGTGGTATGTTTCTCCCGGTTTGCTAATTTCAAAAGTCACGGGACGGACGATCATTTTGCAGATCGATAAAAAAAAACTCGATAATTTTTTTACCCATATAAATTCTCGGAAAGTCTCGGTTATTATTGGCTGTCTCGTGACTTATGAAATTAGCTGTAAAACGGTGTCCAAACCGGTTTGATACTAATAAATTTTTGCTTGTTTTTTTTTCCATTTTCTCGTTTAAATAGACTGCCAGATAGCAAAGTACACTACCATTCCGATATGCTTGTTTGTTGTACAATATTTTTTCTTTTACATATTTTTTTCATATTTCCTCAATCTCTTGTCTTACTTTCCTCTTTTGCATTTCCTTTTACCAATATAAACGAGTAACTA